CTCCTCCTCCTCCTCCTCCTCCTCCTCCTCCTCCTTCTCCTCCGCCTCCTCCTCCACTGCTTCTAACTTTTTTATTGTCTTTTGGTGTCCCACTCATCTAGGAGACCATGGCATATTTCACTGTCATGTCTCCTCAGGATCCTCTTGGTTGTGACAATTGCTGAAACTTGGTTTTTGATGACTTTGGGATTCTCAAGTATACTTGTTGAGAATTTTGTAGATTCTTCCTCCATTCAAATTTGTCTGATGTGTAATAGACAAATACTCGAGTAATTTTTTTTTAAACACAAAAGTGTTGTGATGATTTGGATGTAAAACCCCACAGGTTCATGGTTCTGAACACTTGGAGTCTGGTAGGTAGGCCTTGAGGATGACAGCCCAGCTTCCTGACCCCCAGAGATGATGCCATACACCCCTGTCACCACCAACAGAGCCCAGCTGCCATGGAATGCACTGTGTCCTTCCAGCCATGATGGACTATTCCCTGACTGACTGTGAGTCTGAATAAATCCTTCTCCCGTTAACTTGTTCCTTGTCAAGTGTGCTGCAGCACTGAGAAAAGTAACTCAGCACAAAAACACTAATGTCCAGATGGTTAAATATTTGAAACAACAAATTGGTTCTTTACCGCATGTGGCAAGTGACCCACCACTCTGGTAACACCAGGGTCAGTTATAGCGTGGCCAGGGGAGAGGTGCACTCAGGGATGCTGGGGGTAGGGGATGGGGCAGGGGTGGGGTGGGATGCGATTCCCAGAAAGATTCAGCTTCTGGAAGGTCTGTCACATTCTCACCCTTGCTTCTAGGCTTGTTTCCTACCTATACTGTTGGTTTTCTAGTTCCTAGACCCGGGCTTCTCATTCTTTTACAGCAGGATTTTTCCTACTTCCTAAAGCAACACAAGTCACCATTATGGTCTTGTCAAATAGCCAGCCTAAGGAAGACCAGACTAAACCCAAAAGGTGAAAAGAAATAGCATGCCTGAGGACCAGATAAGGAAGTGCCCCTTCAGTGAGGTATGCCCTGAAGTGTCTCCCAAAGCTAGGGGTCTACAGACTTTCTGTGTAGAGTCTCAGTTGCTTTCTGGCTTCTAACGCAGAACATAGCCCTTTCCCTTTTCATCCTTTTGCAACCTTCTGGCTGAGGGTCTTTAGCTCCCGCTGGGCAGGAATTTTGTGTAGACAAGAAGCAGCTCTTCAAGTGCCATCCCTGGAAGCTCTCACTGAGCAGCAGCAGCAGGCAGCGAGAAGCAGCAGCAAGTGGCACCCTCTAGTGTTAGGTCCCCATGTGAGCCTCTTGTGTATCAGCACTTAGTCTCACAAGTGTTACAGATTTGCTATAGGCCTTAGGCTCTTGGTCCCCTTAACCTTTGGCAATGGCCTGTGATAGAACTCTGAGCCTAAGGTGTGAGACCCATGGCACTCTGGGAATCTGGAGACCATGCCCTGAAGTTCCTCTTTTCTGGCTTCCTATAGCTTTCTTTTTCTCTTTACTCTCAGCTCTCTCTTGTCAGCTGTCTTCTTCTGTCAACCTTTATCCTACCCTGGCTTACCTCAACGGCTCAACTGCCTCTTCTTTAGCTGTCAGCCAGCTAAGCTGGCCCTGCTGCATTTGCAGCTAGCCCACGCAGGGCTGGGCCTTCTTGTCTTTTTCTGATGTCTTCTTCCTGCTGTGACCGCTCCTGGGCTGTTTGGCTGACCATTTGACTCCTTCCATAACCCAGTTAGACTGGAGTAACTTGGGGTGTCAAAGTCTACCAGGACTGAATGGGGCACCTGATCAGCCCTCTTGGGAGCTGGGAACCTACCGTGTCTTCAGCTGAGATGCAGCTGGCTGCCATGTTGCTTCTACAGCTCCCTGGGGCACTTCTCTCCTGATGTTGGCACCATCCTCAGCTGCCTCTTCTCTTCCTGTTACCGGTTCAGCCCAGGCTACTGGAAATAAGCAAGAGAAAAGCATTCTAGAGATTCATCAGGCTAAAGCTTTAACACCAAGTCAGACAACAGCAGCGAGTGTCTCCTAGCTGAATCACCAACCAGCATTAGCAATCTGCTTTATAGCCCAGGAAAGGGTGTTTGAACCAATTACAGCCACTCCTCTGGACCAGTCATGGCCACTTTTTACCTACCACAGACATTTATTTGAGTTGATCACAGCCTTACTTCTGAGCATCAGTAACAGTCACTGAGGTTCTCGTTTTAGATCCATTGTAGCCTTTGTTCTTAGCACTGGTCATAGCGGTCCATCAGCTAGACTGTTGGAGGAGGCATTCTTAGCACTGGTCATAGCAGTCCATAAGCTAGACTGTTGGAGGAGGCATTCTTCTCTCTGCTCAGGGTCTGCTAGAGTTCACTAGTGTTCATGATACCCAAAAGTCAGGTATCAACTATTTCAAATAGCCCTGGCTGAGGCCATGCCTTTGAGAATTACAGCAATAAGCTAAGTTCATCAAGTCTAGGCTTACATGGAGAGTATTCAAGATGGCACAGGCTGGCAGAAAGGTAGTCTGGCTGGCTTTGAAATGATAATCCTGCAGTTCAAGGCAGTCAAGATCAGCAAAGAAGAGACCAACAGCTGCTTTCCTCACACTTTTGCGATTTATAGGAAAATAAACATGTCATTAGCACAAGTAGTAAGTTTAATCAATTTTAGCAGGACTTTCTTGGTGGTGCTCAATTGTGCCGTGCTCTGGGAGAGGTAGATTCTTACTGCTCTTTCCTGGTATCGAGTCAGGGCTGATCTGGCCTGTTATTGACTGCAGCCCCCACTCCAATGTGTTGTCTAGTGAGTCAGTTCCTCTCTGAATTGTTAAATGTCTATGACAAGACCTAGAATGTGTAAAAGGGTCCTGTGCCCTACTGTGACATCAGTGCCAACCATGTCTGTGTCACCCAAAAACTACTAGAAATGCAGGTTACCCAGACAGAGCCTGGGTCTACAGATCAGAAACAGTGTCCCTGACACCCGGAGTTCGAAGGGTTGGTTGTTCTACTACCAACAGGAAATAGTCAACACTGGCCTCGGGGAAACATTTTTCTGTCATGGATATCTGTGACAAGTTAAGAAGGGTCAGGGGTACAAGGAGCTTCTCAGGGCCATGAAGAAGTTTTAGCGTGATAGTAGAAGAGCAATCCTTGCACTGAGCTGTGCCTCTCAGGAGTGCAGCTTTCTT